GCCTGTAGGCTTCCATTAGCCTCTCTAAAAAGGCAGCCGGAGATTCTCCTGTAAGAGCTGCAAAGTCTCACTGACCTTAGATAAATTCGTAGGCTTCCTGGCCGCTCCATGGAGGCCCTGCCAAAGAAACTGGCGATACCTGGTCAAGGCTTCCAGGCCTTGCGAGGAGTTTGGATCCCACATCGGTCGTGCAGTGGGAAAAAGAGTTTCTCTCAATAGGGGAGTGCCCGCTGGCTGCCCATCAGGCCCAATGACTGCCTTCTGGGCCTCTCTCCGGATGCGTTCCTGGTCCTCTGATGGGAATGGCACCTGGAGAAGTTGCTGGCAGTCGTCCCAGGTGGGCTGATGAGTGTGGAAAACAGTTCCTAGCAAAGAAATCAGACCTGTGGTTTGTTAGAAAAGGAGGGATTTGTTTCTTTCAGTTACACAAATCACTGGAGGAAAAGGGGGACATATACCAAGAAAGGGACTGGGAGTCTTCCCCAGGTGTTAGGGTAAGGGGAGAATGATCCTTCTCTGGGGGTTGGTAAGACGTGCCAGGCCTAGTCGGGGGGGGACTCACAAAGGGGTTGCTAGTATTTCCCTCTCTTCAGCCCCCGGGAACCTGATGGGGTGGTGGCAGCACCAAAGAGTTGGAATCCTGCTCCTCTCCCACCCCGGAGTCGTCCTGCAAAATGGGATAAAGGGGCGGGCTCCACACAGGGTTAGGGACTTGGACCGGTTTTTTTCCTCCGCTCCACTGCGTTTCCTGAAGTCTTGGAAACAAGATCTCTTTCTATTGGGGGAGGAAGAAAATCTTGTATATATGCTGGCTTATCAGTGGCCGTGTCAATCCACACATCAATATAAGGGGTCTGATCTGGATGTCTGGTTCCCCATAAACATAACTGTGAGTTCTGAGTAATAAGAGAAGGGAAAACGAGCTTTGCGGGGACCAATCAGGGACCCCTTCTGCCCAACCACGGGTACACGCATTGCGGAGTCCCCAGTCTTTAGGGTTAAAACCATCTGCTCTTCGTGAGCGCCTAGAGCAATCGGAGAAGTTAGCAAAAGACAGTCAAGTGGTGTCGAAGGCTTCGGTCCCATTTGGGAGCTCTGGATTCCCGTCTGCCTCTGAGGAACCTTGAAAAGGGTAAAATGAACACTTAAAGCGACAACACAGGCACACAAGCAAGAGCAGCAAGCAAACAACAAGAATGCCAACACCCGTGAACAGCCGCGGGGAACCAAGGGGGGCTCTGCCCCTTTCAAGATACAAGAGTCCGCAGGGACGTCTCCCTGGGACCTCGGACACCGTCACATGCCGCGTCCAGCTGACAATTCGCCCCCAAAGGTGCACCGTTCAAGTCGCTCACCACAGGCGGCTGCTCACATCAAATGAACTGGCGAAGGACGTCTCTGGAAATCCCCTGGTTCTGGGGAGAGCACTCCCATAAAAGAGGTCTCCTTCCTAACCAGGCTCGGACAGTGGCAGTAGGATCTCGGGGGAACCTCCAAGTGTTGTAGCCTACTGTCCGTTCCCAGAAAGAAAACAACCCAGACCGCCGACAAGTTCAAAAGAAAAAGTTATATTTCCTACGCAGGGGCCATCAGGCCTCTTGACAGGAGACCGAGTGGCCCCAGTCTAATTTTCCAAAGGTTTTTATGCTATTGCAATGTGCAGGCGTGCAAGCAAGCAGAGTACAAAAGCAGGATATTGCAGTTAGCCGTTCTTAGTTGAACAATAGCTGCTTGAACATATATTTTCTTTGGTACATTCCATTGCGCTACGTCTGCACAGCCTGCCTCCCTAATTTCAGCTAGTTCATTTACAGTTCACCTAGCTAGTTCATTTATAGTTCATAATGGCTTCTGTCAGCTCAAAATGGCTTCACTCTTATCAAGGCTGTTTAAGTTTTTCCTAGAGCTACAGGCATGCACATATGTAAATACATTTATACATAACCATATGGTCATAGAGCTATGTACATATGTTTATATAGTAAGATAGCAGACAGTGGGCCTCTACTCAAGTCCTCCCTCAACGCAAGAACACTTTGTTCTAATAACCCGGCATTCTGAGATGCTCACCTTCTCAACAGGGTCGCTGAAGACAAAATGGTGCAGAAGCAAATGTGGTGAAGAAAGCTGATGGTGTCCAGATAGAGCATCTGGGGTCTTAAAGGCTTGAAGATAAACAAGCGGCCGTCTAGCTGGGAAGCGACCATCTAGCTGGAAGAGCACAGCAGCCTGTTCACGAGGTGTCAACAGGTTCAGGTATCAGGCATCAGAAGACTCAAAACAAATAATCATATCAATGTGAAAGGGGGAGGGGGGAGTCGGAGTGGAGACACAAAGCTCATATGTAGACAATTGGACATCCCTCACAGAAGGGTCACAAGGAAGGGACGAGCCAGCCACAGGGTGCAGTATAGCACCAATGAAACATACAACTTCCCTCTAGGTCTTTAATGTTTCTCCCTCCCACTATCATGGCCCCAGCTCTACCTTACAAATCTGGCTTGACCAGAGCATGTACACTGGTACAGATAAGAGCTCTCGCCACACAATCCAGGAAAGATAAAACCCCTCAGGAGCAGTAATGGGAGTAGTGATACCATGAGGGTAGGGGGAAGGTGGAGGGAGAAGGGGGAGAAAGGGAGAACTGATCACAATGATCAATGAATAATGCCTTCCCCACCCACCCCACCAGGTGACCAACAACAGAAACGTGGTGAAGGGAGACAGCAGATGGTGTAAGATATGAAAATATAAATAATTTATATTTTCAAGGGCTCATGAAGGTGGGAGGGAGAGGAAAAAATGAGGAGCTGATACCAAGCACTCAAGTAGAAAGACAATGTTTTGGAAAGGATAATGATGACATAAATACAAGTGTTCTTGATACAATAGATGTATGGATTGTTATAAGAACTGGAAGGACTTCCGGGAAGAAGGCGACTGAGTAACACATACCAGAGGGACTCCGCAGAAATCAGCCCAGGAGAGTTACTCAGAGGGAAATTCCACACTGCTGGAATGCAGGAGGAGCATCATAAAGATAAGTAGGCACAGACCCACAAGGTTTTGAGGGGCTGGGGGCTTTTGGCTTACCTCAGTGGAGGCCGGCTAGTGCTTGACCTTAGCCCCGCCACTGTCTCTGCCGGAGCTGGGACCATTTGGAGCAGGGGTCCTCAAACTATGGCCTGCAGAGGACATTTATCCGGCCCGCCGGGTGTTTTGGCCCAGTTTGTTTTTTTACTTTGAAATAGCTATGTGCAGTGTGCATAGGAATTTATTCAGTCTTTTTTAAAAACTATAGTCCGACCCTCCAACAGGTCTGAGGGACAGTGAACTGTCCCCCTGTTTAGAAAGTTTGAGGACCCCTGATTTGGAGCCTGCGCAGGGGCTTAATCTCAACACAGCCACAGCTTGCTGCCGCCTCGGGGCAGGGACTAAACCCTTGCGACCCCAAGGGCAGGGATTGGGGCTCAGAACTCTCGTGGGCAGTTCTCCTCTGTCCTAGGGTTGCTGAGTGGCCATGGATTCGATGCCGGTGAGTTGGGTTTGGGGGTGGGTCCGGGTGTAGGCAGTCCCCCTTCCACTGCGACTCCCTGATCTGCCGCCAGCCGTGATGTGGTGACAGTTTCCGTGTTACTGTGCCTAGCTTCAGCAGCCGCGTTTCCGAGAACCCTTGAAGCCCAGGAAGACCCGGAGCAGATGGTCTCCCTCCTCCTCAGAGGACGCGCCTTTGTCCTGCCGAAGGCTCCATGGACACCTCTGCCTACGTCCTATTTGAGTTTGGGCTCTCCTTCTCCCGGTGGCATCGTGGGTGACCAGTTGGACTGCCAACTGCAAGGCCAGCAGTTTGAAACCATCATCCGCTCCTTGAGAGAAAAACGAGGCGCTCTAAGCCGTGAGGAGTCCCTATGCGGAAGAATGGACCCGATGGTGGGGGTCCGTGTCTCCCCCCCCACCGCCCCCCGGCATACATGGACCAAACAGCATCTCACACAGACAGTCCAGTTTGTTCTTAAATGCCATTTATTTTACTGATTCAACATTGGCTATCCACACGTTACTATTATGATTCTTTCCTAACTCTGAGAATGCCCAATCAATCAAGTTGCTCTTCTTCCCATACAAATGGTCATCCATTGCTCCTTCTCTGTTTCATCCGAGGGACTGCCACCCGAGGCCGGGGCCCCATTCTCACCATCCAGGAACACCTCATCGACCTTTGGGGGTTCACCATCTAGCGCTGGCCTAGCTTGTTTTGAATAAAACAAGCGGTGCCGTGGGGGAAATTTCTAGATGAAAACAGGTACAGGCTTTGCCCATTTCCTTATTCCTCCGTCTTGGGCCCTTCGATAGCTAGCCGACCTCCTTCTCCAGCTTCTCACCGTATCGTGGGCACTGCACCTGTGTGTCACCATTGCACTGAAAACAACCAGGACGACAAACCCTGCGTGGCGTGCCCGTGGAAGGACCCGTGCAAACCTAAGAGGGAAGGTATTATGCCTGCTTGTTGCAAGGTGTTCCCGTGGACAGTGCCACTGGGGTCCCTGGGACGTGAGAACAAACCGCGGGGAAGGCCGAGCGAGACATTTTCTATCCTCGTTTAAAGCGTGGACTTGTCTGCTGAAAACACTAGCGAACTACGAAGGGGCCTGCGCTGCTGATAAGCAGCCACCTGTGTTCTGTCCGTGTGTCCAGAGGTGCACCCTTGGGAATCGGAGGGTGCCGAGCGCAGGGTGTGGTGGTGGGTTGTCCCCCAGGGAGCCACACGGACACCAAAGCTGACCAGGTGCTGCAGTAGTAGAGCCAGGCTCATGTCTGTCACATCTGGAGCTCCAGGTGCTCCCGGCACCGCGACCTCCTCTCCAACTTCTTCTCTCGCCCGGGGTGAGCACTGCTGGTCTTGGGCCAGCACATGATGGCGGGCTTCCTGGGGGCGCGGGGGGCTGTTTTCATCAGCCGTGGGGATCCTCCAAGCTCTGGAAAATCACGGAAGGCAGAGGGGGCTCTCGAGAACACGTGCCGCGGGACTAATGGGGCCGCCACCAGCACTACCTGCAAGGGGAACAGGTCAGCAGGTCAGCGGACAAAGCAGGGGTTAGTATAAGGAAAGCCCTGAGTGAGAGAAGTGGCAGGTTCCTCCAGCCCCACGGACGATACCAGAGAGACGGGGCCCCAGATCCAAGGGCATGCCGCCCAGGATGCCAGGTGCAGGAAGGAGCAGAGGTGGGGAGACAGGCTCAGAGCTGAGCTCCGGGGCCACTGAACTGTCCTCCCAACCCCAGGGACAGCAAGCACACCATGTGCCATCCTGGCTGCCATACCCGACCCCATCATCCTCTGCCTCTCTGCGAAGCCTTCACAAACACAGCAATCTCCGTCTACCCCACTCAAGGTTGGCAGCAGCAGGAAGCCAGCTACTGCCAAGTCAGCCCCGACTCCACGTGGCGCTCCAGCAGGCTCTTGGTGGCTGGCCTCCTGCTCATAGGTTGCCAGACCTTTCTCCCAAGGTGCCGTGTGGTCAGAGCCCAGCACGTGAGTCATGTGTACCATCCAGGCACTTCACGTGAACACGACAGAGTCCTGTCATGGGGGTCATGACGCGTGTTCTTGCCAAAGGGGGCAAACATCCACGTGCCCCTTTGTGGCAGGTCAAAAGCTGCATCAGAAAGGCTGGGGTGTTTGTAAAGAACTGGGGACAGAGCTGCAGCAGCAGCACACTCCGTCTGCCCTTCCTCAACCAAAGGACCGATGGACGCTGATGCGAGCGAGATTAGGAAACCCCGGGCCCGTGAGAGCAAACTTGACATACTCAGTATCCAGGATATGGCAGGCTCCACCTAAGTCCCTCTGCTGCAGTCTCCTGTTAGAGTCTCACAGCCTCTCCTTGAGTGGGGTACGGCTATCACCCACCCACCTTCATGCATGAAGAGACTGAGAGGTCAGGGCCTCGGCCGAGGTCACCCAGCATGGGCATGGCAGCAGAGCTGGGGCCTGGGGCCTGCTCTGTGCTCGGCTGTGCTGCCCTGGTCTAGTGTGTCCGCAGGTGTGAGTCTAAAGTGATAGAACCCCATGAAGCATTCCTAATCAGGCCTTGCCAGCTCTCTGAATGCCCTTGGCTGCTTTCCCAGATAGAGAGGATACACCCCTCCTGAGAGACATCCAAGTGCCAACACCCGCAAACCTGAGCTCCCCAGAACGGGCTCGCCCTTCATCCCCCGCAGCCCCGTGGGCAAGCCGATCGCACCTGTCTCACTCCTTACCTCTCATTCGTAGAACACCTGGTAGCTGAAGTTGTCAGACTGGATTTTGAAGTTGTACCTCCCAGTGACCTTCTGGTAACGCAGGATCAGGAGGGCAGCTGCGCCTGTCACCACACCGAAGACGGCCACCACAATCAGGACGATGTAGACCACGCTCAAGCCAGGCTGTCCACTGGCGGAGTCACCTGCGGGGTGTGGCAGGCACAAGAGAAGGGATCTGCTCAAACTAAGAAGAACGGGCTTCTGCTAGCTTAAACCCAACAGGAGTGCCTGCGGAGGGAGAACGGAGGTGAGAGAGAAGCGGGGTCTCAGAGCAGGGTGCGTGCGCTCTCCCCATGTGAGTCGCTGCTGTGTACTCTGCTTGCCACCCAGAAGACGTGGGCCTCACGCTCCTGAGCAGCCAGGACCCAAGTGTGCCCAGGTAGCTGTTGGCTAGCGGAGATGGTGAGAGGCCAGGAGTGACCCTCAGCAGCCATGCCGGCTCTGCCTGCAAGCGCCCACCCCCTTGGTCTAAGGATGAGCGCTGGCTACTGATTTCTAGGAGGGGGCCTGGTCTGAGCGGGCATGCATGCTACCGTGTGGAGGGTGGGGGCCTTCCAGCAGGAGAGAATGGCACAGAGGGCAAGAGAGAGCGGGAGACCCCACAGGAACTTCACACACGGGGTGTTAACACAAGCCTGATGCCTCCAACGAACGTAGAAGCAGCCCTTTTCTCCCTGCCGGCGAGTCCGCACCCACTCCTAGCAGCCCTCTAGGACAGACAGGGTAGAACTGCCCCAGGACTGCAACTCTTTTTTTAAAGTTGTACTGGTATTTCATCCACATGCCATGCAACAATTGAAACATATCAAGAAGAGTTGTACAATCATCGCCTTAATGCTAGAACATGTTCTTGTCTTGTACTCATTATTATTCATGCAATTATTATGTTTTTAAAAATTGTAGTGAGACTAGAACTCTTCACAGGAGTAGAAATCCTTGTCTTTCTACTGCGGAGCAGCTGGTGGTTTTGAACTGCTGACCTTGTTAGTACCCCAATGCATACCCACTGCACTACCCTCTCAAACTCACTGCTATCGAGTCAATTCCAACTCATAGCGACCCTACAGGACAGGGTAGAACTGCCCCTGTTAGTTTTGGAGATGGTAACTCTTTACTGGAGTAGAAAGCCTCATCTTTTTCCCATGGAGCGGCTGGTGGTTTCAAACTGCCGACCTTGTGGTTGGAAGCCCAAAGCATAGTGTTCATGAAATGAAGGATGGATAAACTGTGGTACACCCACCATGGAGAATTAATCATCCATAAGAAGTACAGATCCAAGTACCACACAGGAGACATTGAAAACAGCCTGCTGAGTGAAGTAATTAGAGCCCAGACATCATACCTCATGTGCTTCTGTTCATGTGCAGTATCCAGAACAGACAAACCCAGAACAGACAAACCCAGAGGAGCTTGCAGGGGCAGGAGGAAGAGAGGGTGGGTAGTGACCGCCGAGGAAGACTGGACCTGATTTGGGGGTGGGGTGGGCATGTGTGGAGACCAGCTTGGGAGGATGGTTGCACAGCTTTGTGAACGCACTAAACGCCGCTGAATGGCTCCATCCAGATGGTCCATTTCTATGATGCGGATTTCACTTCTTTTCAAAAAAAGTATCTCAAAGAGAAGAAACCCCCACTGCCTGGGAAAGGACAGACGTTACTAGTCCTTCTCACGTTCTCTCCGTCCTCCCAGGGAGAGACCTGCTGGCCACGGGGGCAGTTTCCGGCGCATGGAGCGAGGTGTGTGCCACAGGGGCGGTGAGGCACTAAGGAATCAGGGCTGCCTGGTGGCGTCGGATGAGCTGTGCTCCAGCAGGTCTCCACGGCTGCGTTTTCAGGGGTCGGTCTTCTTGCAAACACACAGAGATGGACCCAAACCCCCCCCCCCTTTCCTAAGACAGACGAGGAAAGAGGTCTGGCCATCTGCTTCCAAAAGTTAGCCGCAGCAAACCATCTGAACAACACCTGCGTGGAAGCAGCGGGTCCGTGGAAAAGGAGGCGGCCGGACGGAGGCGAATTGATGGCCTGGCGGAGACCATGGGCTCCAACAGAGCAAAGGTGGTGAAGACCATGCAGGGTGGGCCACGCTCTCGTCTGCTACACACAATCCACTGCCATCAAGCGGATTCGGACTCACAGTGACCCTGGAGGGCAGCGTGGAGCTGCTCCTTGGGGGTTTTAAGGCTGTAAATCCCTAAGTGAGCAGAGAGCCTCAGGGTCACTGCAGACAGGAAAATGAGTGGACGGCACTTGACAGCACTAGGCAGACGAGTGGATGGAGGTCTAGATCAGTGGGTGGGTGGGTGGGTGGATGAACACATGAATGAACAGGAAGATGGGTGGCTGAGTGGAGGGGAGAATCCATGGGTGAGTGAGCGCTTGAATGCTGGAAGGGCGCGCAGAGAGATGGATGAGCATCTGGGTAGAGGAAGAGAGAAATGGACGGGGTGGGGTGAATAAATAAGGGGGTGGGTGCACGAGTGATGGTGGGGGAATGGAGGAAGGGTTTAGTGGGTGGATGGGGAGGTGGATGGATGAGTAAATGAATGAAGAGGATGCAGAAGCTCCCGTCATTCCCACGAGGCCACAGAGTTTCTCAGGGGCATGTCCTACATTCAACCCAGGGCTCCTCCCTCCAAGTCCGGTGCTTTTCCCACTCAAACGTTGGCCAAATAAAACCAAAAATTAAAAAACCCCAAACCAAACACACAGCCATCGAGTCCATGCCAACTTGTGGTGACCCTATAGGGCAAGGGTGGCACCGCCCTGTGAGTTCCGAGACTGCCACTCTTTGTGGGAGTAGAAAGCCCCATCTTTCTCCTGTGGTTTCAAACTGCTGGCCTGGCCGTTAGCAGCCCAATGGGTAACCATTATGCCACCCAGGCTCCTCACATTCCCCATCATATTGATGAATAAATGTAAACGCTTCATTTCTATAAATGGGGATGCATCTGATGTTTGCATACATTTATTTCAGAAAAAAAAAAAAACCGTGGCGGCAGGGCAAGACATTGGGAGGCAACAAGACAGATTGCATTTTAAAAGGCATCCTATTTCTTATCTTTCGCTCCAGGCCAAACTCCTCCTCCCCAGACCTTGAACAAAAGATGAGTGCCAGAGACGCTGTGGTCCCAGGAGCCAGCTCGTCACCTGAGGTCCCGTCAAAGCATCCGCACCGAGGCCTGACTCCAGAGGGCCCCAGCCGGAGACCTGTGTCTATCTCAAAAGTGTCTCAGGTGCTTCGCCTACAAACTGGGAGTTGAGAATCGTTTGCAAAGAGCTCCCCCTGCTGGTTCCCCAGAGTCCTGACCCCACTCAGTGCCAGTTTATGCCCTGGAGCCAACCCCCAATATTTCAGGGAAATATTGAGAGGCAAGGAGGGTGAGAAAGAAATGCTGTGAGGAAAATCACCCAGGATTAGGAGGGAAAAAACAAAATCATCATGTCTCAAAAAACAAGAAAGTTTATTTCTTTCTCACATAAGACTTGGGGTCAGAGCCCAGGCCTGGCCCACAGCCCTGCTCCCGCGGAGTGCTCAGGAAGCAGACTCCCGCCAGCTCCCCGGGCCCACCCTGAGGGCACCTCTGGGTCCTCGGGGTTAAAGAGGATGGAGGCCACAGCGGAGCCCTCCTCTGCACCTCAGGCAGCAGGAAGGGGAAGCGACAAAGATAGGGGTCAGGGGAGCTCCGGGATATTCCACTGGGACCTCATCAGAAGGAGCTGGGAGCAGCTCAGTGCAGGCACGTGTGCAGCCGCATGCTCACTTAAGGCCGCACTTAGCTGCAAGCGAGGCTGGGCATCCGGGTTTTTGCTCC